GGGGACAAAAGGGATACTTAAATGAATAACATACAAAGGTTTCCTGGATGAATAACTGAGAACTTAATAACATGAAAACGGCACATCACAAATACTACTTTAGCAAAACAAACTGCATCCTAGTAAAATAATCCACATATTGAGAGGAGAACATCATTGCATATAGTCTAACAACACAGGGCATAATTTGGATTTGATCTCACCATACCTCCCAGCTAATTTCTGTTCCATTGATAGCGTATCGAATCTGAAACTGAAGATCGTTCTTTGGAAGTTCTGGATTAGTCCAGCTCACATTCAGCAGACCCACTTCCCCTGTGATTTCTGCTTTGACACGGGAGGGAGAAAATGGCTTCACTAGAAAACAAAACAAAAGATGTTTGACTGGTTTTTTTTTTATATTTATGTCTGGCTCTTCTTTCCTTATTGAACTGGCATTAAAGGAGAACATTTAATTTATTTGTGGCAATTGTATTTGCCACAGATTACAAAACTGATTGTTTTAGTAATACAAATGGTTAATTACATAATTACATGCCCTCAATGATTTTGATTTTGACTTATTAAGACCCTTTCCAGTGGTTTCTAGATGTAGAGCACTCACTGAGCTTATCCAGTCAACTGTTTTAGATCAGGGCCAAAATCAAATTCAGTTCCCTCCCCCACATGAGCTGCCAATACATGCTGACCAGCTGTCTCATTCTCTTTCTTGGTCCAATTCTGTAAAGCTCACTGGTGAAGCTTTTCACTCCCCAGATATAATTCTGTAGGATTGGCCGGGAAAGATGGAAGTGCCTGGTTAATATTGTTGTTGTGAACACTGCTGACATCATGAGGGCATGAGGCTGTGTTCAAGGTTCCAAGACGTGTATGACTAGCACATCAGCCAGCCCTCTTGCATTATCTTACTTCTTTGCAACATTGGAAACTGCTTTTGGAATCAGGTCAGGGATGCCTCCTTAAGTGAGGGAGAAAAATACAGTGGTGCCTCGCAAGACGAATGCCTCGCAGGACAAAAACGAATGGTTTTGGAGATGGGGTTGATGATTCGCAAGACGAATGTTCCTATGGCGGTGCTTCACAAGATGAATGTTTTCCGTCTTTTGTTCCTGCCTCATGTTTGCTGATTTTTAAATGTTTTTCTATGATGTTTAAAAAGTTAAAGTTTTTTGATTGAAATTTTGAAATCATCTGCACAATATGTATGGCTTTAAAGAGCACTTAATAAACCCTTTGTAAACCAAATTTGACTTTGTTCTGAGTTTTTTTGCCCATAGGAACTCATTAATTAGATTTCAATGCATTCCTATGGGAAAACACGTTTCGCAAGACAAATTTTTTGCAAGACGACATTAACCATGGAATGAATTAAATTCGTCTTGCGAGGCACCACTGTATGTAAACATTTTGTGCAGCTGGGAGTTGTGTGATTATTGTGCCAGAACTAGATCCTGGCCAATATTCTTTCATTACATTAGTGGTACTGGAGTATGTGAGAGTCAGGAGAATTAAACAAGGACTCAGGAGACCTGGGTCTAATCCCTGCTGGGCCAAGAGAGCTCACTGGAGAATAGCAATGGTAAACCAATCTTTGAATATCTCACGTACCTTGAAAATTTTATGTGACACCAAGTCACTATTGTCAATATTGACTTGATGGCACATGTCAACAACAATGGGAACTGTAATATTACCACTCCTTTCAAATTACCACAGGAAGCATAAGACAAGGAGTGGGGCAAGGTTTTTCAGGATTTACATCATCTCAGTACAAAACTGTTTTTTTCAATTTGTGAAGTGAGGCACATATACATAACTTGGGCGGATTGACAAAACCAACCACAGCTGCTTCAGCTATAACTTTAAAACAACAGCTCTAATGCAGCCTGTATCTTTCCTGACTTACATTTAAGAAAGCTGTGCCTAGCGAAATTCATCTTGCTAAGAATTTTTGAACTTTATATCCAAGAGTAGATTTCCTGGCAAAATCCATCTTGCCAATAAATTTTGGACTTTAAATTCTTCACACTGGTACAAGAGATTATTGTGCCAGAACTGGATGAGCCTGATCCATGAAAGCTTGCAGATTATATGATTTTTTTTAGTGGTCTATAAAAGTATAGCCCACACTTGCATTTGATTATTATTTGCTTGGATCATGTTTACAATATTAAACATTGTTGTTAATTAACACTGCCTGTTATCTTGAGTTTTTAATGACTGTTTTGTAATTTTTTGCTATCATTATTTTTAGCAATTGATTTTAATTTTTATTTTATTTGATTGTATTGTAAACAACTCCAGACTTTTAAATTGAAAAATAGAATTAAAATGTTTTAAAATAAAACAAAGAAATGCAAAAGATAAAAATATTTCTCAGTAGTGAGTTTATTTTTCTTGGCATATTTTACCCACAAAGGACCCATGAAGCATTGGTTGCTCAGGATTTCCAAATTTGAAGGAAAAATACCACCTCCAGTCCATAAGCCACTCCTACCACGAAGTGTACAATTCAACAGAAGTGATGACTCCCATGTTCACTCACCTACTTCTTTTGGAAGAATACACACTGGTTCTGAAGTAACTGTCCCCAATGAGTGCTTAATCTCTATCCACATTGTGTATCCAGACAGAAGGTAAATAGGCTGAAAGATGCACTCATAAAAATTATTCCTCTGAGAATGGCATTCTTTTACCTCCGAATAGGATGGCATGGTAGGAGTCTCTGAACAATACACATCACTCCTTAAAAATATGAAAGCATTGAAATTACCCGAATGTAGAAATTGATAAAATGTGGCTTTCATGTATATTGCAGTGGGTAACATATGGCCTGTGAGCCACCTGTGGGTCAGACACCATTTTTCTGGAGCACCTTACCTCCCCATCACCATTACCAGGAGAAATTTGTACAGTAAAGGGAGACTCATACCTCCACAAGTCTCCAGAAACGGGGATTCTCTTGTAAACAGAGTCATGCTGTCTTATTTTATTGAAAATATGTATATGAAGATTGAAATCACATGCACGAAAAATTGCCAAAAGTGGATTATGCAGTGAGGCAAAGGAGGGGATAAGTGACCCATAGACCTAATTAATTTGCCCACCTATGCATATGTTTAAGAGGAATATAGGGCAGAAAGTTTGGTCATCATGTTCCATGATTTTCAATCATGGTTATACTGAAATTAGTCTTTTTAGCATCTCTTTCTGCCTACACACCTGAAAAAAAGCTAAATACCATCTATTTCAGAATCAGCTGTTTAAAAGCAGTTTCAGAAACCAACATAACAATAGATGTTGGGTGTTAACATTATATCAATGAAAACAGATTAAAAATCAAGTATAAATTATTTGCTAATTAACAATTTCACTGGCTTATTTGTTACAGGCAGCTGTCATGATGCCAGAATTACAGGAGAACTGAATTGTATTTACCAAAGGAAAACACTAAATTGGTTTCAATAGAAAATTGGCAAAAACAATTTTCAGTTACAGTATAAGTACTTTCTAAGCCTTGAAGATCAGGGTCTTTTCAGTTAAGTGGATGGGACCTAACAAACAGTTTCAACTAAAACTAGTCTTGCTATTTTCAACTCCCTGTTCCGAAATTGACAGCTTATCTTTAAAATGTTTGAAGACTTGAGACTAGATAGATGCTGTGAGAGTCCTTACATTTCTCCTTTGCCTGTTGTTTGAGCTACTGCTGTACCCTAAATGCATAAGGCTCTTTAATGTTGCCCCAAAGAAGGTTAAGCAGAAAGCAGCACATAGAATAATAGAGTGGGAACTGCACTGCCATACTGGCTAGGATGGTGGGAGCTGTAGTCCATCAGATATAGAGAGCATAAAACAAGGGGAAATCTGCCTTATAGTATAGGAAAGATGTAAGCATTTGGTCGTGCCGATAGAGGGACCGAAGGGATCCAATCATCGAGGCGGGGCTTTGGCAACTTGCCCGGATTAACGCGTGACGTCAGGTGGCCGGACGCAAGGACAGCTAAGGGGCGTGGGCAGGTCGGAGGGCATTTAAAGGGGGTTCCCCCTTTTGTTCTTCAGCAGCCATTGCTGAACTGGCAACCCACCCGCCCGCCCTATTTACTAGTGTGAGATTAGCTGGTCGCCCTATTGGGGGCCGGATAGGAATTTTTGACCCGCCACCCAATTGGCCAATGGAGGCGGGGATTTTTCACCTATCCCACACTGGACTAGGAGCGCTGGCCTAACGAAGGTGGTAGCATTTGGTCACACAGGGCGGGTAGTGCGGATTCAAAGGTACTGGATATTGTTTTATGGGGTAGTGGCAACAAATTCCAGCGCATCTGGACCAGTAGCATGCCCGGGTAGGCAAC